TTTACACTCTGCCATTCCAGCACATTTTAGAATGTCGTTTATGTATCTCTGTTGTGAAAGCAAAATTCCATCATTGCATTTAACTGTCTCAATTCCAAGAAAAAATCCAGGTTTACCAAGATCTCTAATTTTAAAAATAGTAGAAAGTTTTGACACTAAGTGAGTAACTAGATCCTGATCACTCCCCATCATAAGTATATCATCCACATAAACTAACAGATATACACAAGCAGTTCCTTGTGAGTAGTAAAACAAGGATACATCCGTTTTTATGTCTCAAAACCAGTGGATAGTAAAATGGTGTGCAAACGATTAAACCAAGCCCTGGGTGCCTATTTTAATCCATAAAGAGACATTTTCAGTAAGCAAATATGATTTGGGTACAAAGCATCAATATAACTAGGTGGTTGTTTCATGTACACAACCTCAGATAGATTTTCATTTAAAAAGGCATTATGAACATCAAGTTGCCTAACAGTCCACCCTGAAGATAAAACCAGAGAAAGAAGTAACCTGATTGTAGTTGGCTTGACCACTGGACTGAAAGTATCAAAGAAATCTTGTCCAGGCACCTGATTGAACCCTTTTGCTACTAATCTTACCTTATGTCTTTCAATGGAGCCATCTGCCTTTCGTTTTGTACGAAAGACCCACTTACAACCAATAATATTCATACATGTCGGTGATGGTACGAGAGATCGTGTTTGATTCTAAAGAAGGGCATTAAATTCTTGATCCGTGGCTGCACGTCATTCTGGGTACTTAACTGCCTGAGTGTAACACGTAGGATCTGAAGGACAAACCTGAACCGTTAAAGCTGATGGTGGAGCCTGATACCGACTCTGAGTACTTATTACGTGAGTCCGGACGGTGGATTTCACGGTCTTACCCCGAGGTCGACCATGAGGCCTGGCAGTCGGCTGTACAGTGTGATCCGTAGGGTCGTGTTCTGACAGAGGCTGACTGGGTAGCAGGCGGTTACTGCGATGGCAGTGCGGCGGTATCGTCGCTGGAGGCGGCGTCGATGCTGCCATGGGGCTTCCCAGGCGGGGGAGTGATGATCGCGGCCGGGTAAAAAATTGATTCAGCCCACTGAGTGATCTGTACTAGAGGAGATGCCTTCAAATTATTTTTAGTAGCAAAGCGATATATTATCTCATCAGACTACACATGCCTGCACACATAAATCTTGTTAGTCTGTAAGTCCATGCACCTATACCCCCGGAACGACTTTTGATATCCTAAGAAGACACATGGAGATGAACAATATGACCTTTTGTGACCATTGTATGGTCTAAGATACAGATAACATAGACACCCAAAGACACGAAGAAAAGAGTAGGAGGTATGGGAGTTATGCAATTTTAAATGAGGACTGGAGTTATTTAATACAACAGATGGCATTTTGCTGATTAAATAAACTGCAGTTTCAAAGGCAAGATCCCATAATTTATATGGAGCAGAGGGATGGGCTAAGAGAGCTAAACCCGTTTCAACTATGTGTATATGCTTTCGTTCGACACGACCATTTTGTTCATGAGTGTAGGCACATGACTGCCTACGATTAATGCCTAGTTGCAAAACCAAGAATGTAATTTCTTATATTCAGCTCCTAGATCATATTGAATGGACTTGATTTTACGATTAAATGAACGATCAACTAAAGCAAAAAATTGATAAAATATGACATAAAGATCAGATTTCTGCTTCATAGGAAAATACAAGATGTAACGAGATTAATCATTAACAAAGATGACAAAATAACGATAACCATTGGGGGATAGCAAAGGTGCTGGTCCCCAAATATCAGTGTATATCAAATCAAGAACATCGGAACTATTAGACTCAACACGTGCTAAAGGGAAACGTGTAGATTTTCCCAATTGACACGCTGAACATAAACTGGAATTACAACGAATAGTATGACTAGATCCACTAACCGGACAAGACTGAAGAATTTGACTAAGGACACATTGCTTTGTAAGCTAAGCGAGCCGGGCACTACGTTAGGACGTGGATCGATCATGCGCTTTCGAATGAAGGCTGGTCATAGATCAGCACCTTTTGCTAGTTCAAAGAAATGAGGATGACCCAAACGACATGCCAAACCGAAGCGGAAGCACAAGCGAAGAGAAACGCAGAAGGAAATGAATTTGGAATAGGCAAAGTGTATAGGCCACCCGAACTACTACCTCGTAGGAGGATTTCCTTGGTGGTGATATCTTTCACAAGAAAAAAAAAAAAAAGAAAGATGAAACTCAAAGAAAACATTGTTATCTGTAGCAAAACGTTGAACAGATAATAAAGAGGTAGACAGGCCAGGAACATGCAATATATCAGACATCGTAAAAGACCTAAAAGCGGTATCAAAAGTAGCATGACCAACACGACTAATAAACAGGCTCATAGCATCACCAACACATAAAGTGTCATTACCAGTTTACTTCTCCGAGGTAGAAATGGCAGCTATGTCTGGAGTTGCATGATTTGTGGCTCTAGTGTCTGGAACCCAAGTATGACAGTTTGATGAGGTTTTAGCACGCAAATCATCCTTAAACACCAAATTAGCCTGAGAACCCGGAGCTCCTAAATAACACCGAAAACAATTGACTCCCGTGTGACCGAAACCATTACAAATTTGACAATGTTCATCATAGCGTCGAAAGTAATTGGCTCCCGTGTGACCAAACCATTAAAAATTTGACACTGTTCATCAAAACGCCGAAAACAATTGGCTTTCGTGTGACCAAAACCATCACAAGTAATTTGACACTGAACATTAAAATGCAGAAAACAATTGGCTCCCGTGTGACCGAAACCATCACAAATTTGACACTGAACATTAAAGCCACATCTGCCACGCTGCTGATCTTGGTGCGGATGGCTACTACCTCGATTTTCATCACCACCACGTTTCCAGCAGGGCCGTCCCTGGGCATGATTGCCCAGGGCGCTTGCAAAGGGCCCCCTGAATTTGGGGGCCCCAAATCCCCAATTAGAGAACATATATATACATGAGTAAATACCCAAAATGGTCCCTCGATTATAGCTAAATTCACAAATTGGTCCTCGACTTTTAATTTCAACCAATTAAGTCCTTAACTTTGCAATTTTAACACAATTTGGTCCTTTGTCTATTTGACCGTTTGTTGACTGCACTTTTTTAGGATATATATGTAATTTCATGGTCCATCGTCGGTTTTTTAAGTTTCCGGTTGCATTTCTAGACTGCACTGTTACATTTGAATCCACTGCCGGCGCTGCACCCCATGCCGGAGAGATTATAGCTTTTGATAGATAGAACGCCGAAGTCCCTGGAGTGGCTCTTCGAGAAAGCCGTGACTCCAAGCGATGTAGGCAAGGTGAACCAGCTCGGGATCCCCAAGCAGCAAGCGGAGAAACACTTCCCCCCTGCGAAACGGCGCTGTCACCTCCAAGAGCGTTCTCTAAGCTGAACCGGCTCGTGATCCCCAAGCAGCAAGCGGAGAAGCACTTCCCCCTCCGAAACAACGATGTCACCTCCAAGAGCGTTCTCTTGAGCTTTGCACGTGAAACTACATATATATCCTCAAAGATCGCGGTCAAGAAACGGTCAAATAGATGGAGGCCCAAATCGTGTCAAAATTGCAAAGTTAATGACTTAATTGGTTGAAATTGAAAGTCGATGACCAATTTGTGAATTTAGCTATAGTCGAGGGACCATTTTGGGTATTTACTCTATATACATATACTATACAGCAGGCAGCGCACTGCCTGCTGTATAGTATGTGTATATATATAATTTTTTGTTTTTTAACAATTGGCCCCCAAATTTGGGGCACAATTGTAATAATAAAAAAATTATATAGTTATATACATATATTATGTGAGTTATATATATATATATATATATATATATATATATATATATATATATATATATATATATATATATAGAGGCTCTGTTCTGTAAAATAGTTAGCTTATCTGTCAATTTTAGTTTATTTGACTATTATTAGATGTTTGACTTGGTTAAAAAAAAAAAAGTAATATAAGTGTTTGGTTAATCAGCTTTTTGTAACTCCAAAAAGCTACTCAAAGCAATTTTTTCAATTAGCTTTTTGAGAAAATAAATTATACCAAACAGCTATCAGTTAACAGCTAATTTACCAACCATCTTTCTACCATCAGCTACTGTTATCAACTAGTCAGACCCTCTAATTACCCAATCAGATAACACCTATTAGCTAACATCCATTTACAAAACAGGACCATAATTATTTTACAATTAGGCCCCAAATTTGGGGACAAAATTGTAAAAAAATAATAAAAAAAAATTATATACTTATATACATAGATTATATGAGAATTGTCAACCCAATTACCATTTCAAATGGATGTTCATATGTTTGAACCCCGGTTGTGGGGACTTAGATTCTTTGATTTTCTAGAAGTGGTCTGAGTGGAGGTTGTCGGTCGGTAGTATACTGTATACAAGTTCTGAATTTTGAAAACTGAAGTTCTTCATTAGGTAGTTTAATCAGGATCTGGAGGAGTGGTCCAAGGTGTACAAAAAAAAAAAAAAAAAAAAAAAAAAACTCTTAGATGTAAATCGTAGAGCATTTTATACTCCTAGTGTAGTCACAATCTTAACTTAACTTTGTGCGATATTGCAAATAGTTGTGGCAAAGCAAGAGATTCCTTTGGGGTATTACAACATACTAGTAGTTGTACCCATGCGTCGCACGGTCATATATATAGTATATGGAATATACAGTGTAAAAAATAGTTACTGAAAATCTAATAAATTTGAGAAGAAACAAATTGAAATTTTATTACACATTGTTGAAGACTTCTTTGTACACAACATTTTTGGTCGTACTTATACATGTATCATTTTCGCCGCAAATCAATATTTTTAAACCTCTTGGATTACTAACTCTTGAAACAGCTACATACATTTGGCCATGGTTAAAAACGGGTCTTTTTAAAAACAATCCCACGTTTGAAAGAGTTTGCCCTTAGCTTTTGTTTATTGTCATGGCATATGATAGCATCAAAGGAAATTGCTTTCGTTGGAATTTAAAAGGCAATCTTGGATCTGATGGTGTAAGTGACATTCTGGGTATCAATACTCTAGTACCTGCATTTGTACCACACATGATATGGGCTTCCAACACGTGATCAGCTAACCTTGTTACAATTAATCTTGTGCAGTTGCATAAGCCAAGAGTGTGATCAATATTTATCAAGAGCATAACCGGTGACCCAACTTTCAAAGTCAAAGCATGATTTGGTACTCCAGAACATTGCAGACCATTCAAGAATTCAAGAGTGTGCAAATCCGCTAACATATCCGCATTTGAATCTGACTTACAAACTGAATCACAACTCAAGTAAGTCCTACCCTCAGCTGGATTATGATCATTCATGTATTTGTTAATGCTATCTACCACATCCAATGTTGGAGCCAATTTAGCACTATCCTTAAGATATGAAAGATCTTCATTACCACGTCCAAAACCAGGGAAGGTGTTATCAGCAATTGTAGCAATAGGATCATCATCAGATCTTAGCAAAAACTCATCTGGAATTGTAAAATCTACTTCACCATCACTTGAATTACCAAGTGTACCGCCACCTATATTAGTTATCCAGTTTGCAAACTCTTCAATTTGTTTAGCCTCAATCGCTGATTGTACACTTCTTAGGCGTAGATTCTTAGTTAGCCTAAATACTTTATAGGACCTCCAAAGATATGACGAATTTATGTTTGCCCCAACAATATCTTGTCTTGTACCTTTTGGAATTACTGGTAGAATTTGCCTAAAATCGCCACAAAAAACAACGGTTTTACCCCCAAATGTCATATCATAACTATTTGGATTTCTGGAGCGTAACAAATCCCTCATAGTTCTGTCTAGGGCTTCAAAACAAAATTTGTGCATCATTGGAGCTTCATCCCATATGATCAACTTGCTTTGCATAATAAGCTCAGCTAATGGGGTACCCTGACTTATGTTGCAAGTGGAATCTTCATTGACAGATATAGGTATGGCGAATCGAGAATGTGCAGTCCTGCCACCTGGTAACAAAAGAGAAGCTATGCTACTAGATGCAACATTTAACACTATTTCACCATTAGATCGTAAAGCGGTAGACAATGTTCTCCACAAGAACGTCTTACCAGTACCTCCACAACCATAAACGAAGAATAAGCCCCCAGTTTTGCCTTTAATATCTCTTAACACCTCGTCATATATTACCTTTTGCTCTTCTGTTAATTTGCATACCAATTCCTGATTCTCTTTCTCCTGGGCAAGACAATCATATGCCAATTCTTCTTGTATCAACCTATTTGATATTACATTATAGGTCTCCAAATTTGCCGTTGGCATTACTGGAAAGTCCCTCAAACTCTTCCCCATCATTGATAACATCATTTCAATCTCAACTAAAGCAAAGTTCATCTTCTCATAGTCATTCAACACATAATCTGTGTATGTTTATACTTTATAGTAGTAATAAAATAATAATTAATTGTTTTTTTGTAGTTGTAGTAATCAATTTATTTTCTAGCTAAATGACCAAAAAAAATGATATACATCGATTGTGTACTTGTATTTTGGGATTGTTTACGTAGTTGATACTGTGCATCTTCCGACAAATACATCAAAAGTAGTATTTGAGTGATAACGATAGTTGTCACAATAAACGTATAATTTGTGACCAAATATGTTATTACAAAAAATTGATTTAGTGACAACTAAAATTGTTGCAATTAATTATTTTGTTGTGACAACACTTTAGTCACAATAATTGTACTTATTTGTGAGAATTGTCCTTGACGCAAAAACGATTATCAGTGACCAAAAAAAGTGATATCAATATAATTACTTTGTTGTGACAACAGTCATGGTAACAAATGTTGTATTTATTTGTGACAAAAGAAGTTAACTCTAAAACAATCATTAATGGTACCAAAGCCGTACAACAATTCAATTTATTGTAACCATCATCTTCGTCACTGATATCTTTTAAAATAGTGACAACGTATTTGTCACTAAAATATTGAAAATTAGTGACAAAATTTGTGTCACTAAAATAAGTTAAAATAGTGTCACAATTATACGTTGTAAGAAATACAATATAATCCAAATAAAAAATTTTAAAATAAAATGTATTAGATTATTCTTCACTTGAGGTAGTTGATGGAGATGCATTGCTTAGCATTATTCGAAACCCTTAATTGCTTGCTAAGTGAGAAACAATTTACTTGATTTCAACTTTTTCTTCTAAATTCTTCTCACGTTTCTTTGAAGCTTCTATTTCTTCTTGAAGAAAATCTTCTCTTTGACCCTTTGAAGTAATCCCTTTAAGAATCTTCTTTTATCCCTTTAGAGTTATCCCTTTTGCAAATAATGGTTCAACCATCGACCTTAAGCATGCCCAGGTAAGCTCAAAATACTCCTTCCTGCAATATTCTATAGTTTGATTAACCAAGCAAACACATGCTGTAAGTGTATAAGATTAGTACACATTAAACCTTTATTGGCTAATTTATTTAGTCTCACTTTAATTAGCATAATTAGATTAATTTTAGTTTAAAACCTTTTTGGACCACATTCTATCAACTAAGATTAATTCGAATGGATATCTTTTATTGTTCAAAGAAGAAGAAGTCAGCAGCATCTAGCTTCTCTTAAGCACAAGTCTCGCAAGAGATCATGCATCCTAATTGTCTTGATTTTGCAATTATAACTCTGTTTACCAATTAGAACAAGACTTCTATCAACAAGATCTTGCAAGCATTCCATGGCCACTTCCTCCAAATTCTTATTGTTCACTGCCCCGAAAAATCCCTCTGCTACCCACAACTTAACTAACTTCTTTACAGGGATTTCATAATCTTCTGGAAAAACTCCAAAATATAGAAAGCAAGCTTTAGACGGGTGTGGTAATTGGTTGTAACTCAAAGATAGTACACTTGAACATGCTTCATTAGAATCACCAATTACACTTTCTGCAACATTCTTCCACTTTTGCACATTCTCCTCTGTCTTGGAGAGAAGACTAGCCACTAAAGTAATAGCTAGAGGTAATCCTTTACATTTCTTCACTATGTCTCTACCAATTTGCTCAAACACCAAAAGAAATTCCGTTTTACCAAACACACTGCAGTAGAGATTCCAACTTTCAGTGACATCTAAGAAAGGCATGTTAATGATAGAGTTACCTAAACTAGCAGCATATTCAGCCACCTCTCTGAGCCGAGAAGTCAGTAGTATACGGCTTCCATTATTATCATCTGGAAAGCACCTTTGCACACTATCCCAAGCTTCTTTGCTCCATATATCATCTATCACTATCAAGTATCTCTGATCCTTCAAGCGTTTACGTAGCGTTTCTGCTAATCTGCCTTGGTCATTGCTACTTTGTTCATCACTTGATTCACTAACACATCCAATAAGGCATCCGAGCATTTTTCCCACGGTATACTCTTGGGATACAGTAACCCATGCTTGCTTGTAAAAATGAGAAGTAATTGATGGATCCTTGTAGACTTTCCCAGTTAAAGTGGTCTTACCTATTCCTCCCATGCCAACGATTGATACAACTTGGAGCTGCTCAGTTGATTGTTGCGTGAGCTTATCCAATATCGTCTTGAATTCCTTGTCGCATCCAACCATTCTACTATCAAACTTTGAAGCGCTTTTGTAAAATTTACTCACAGTAATATTATTCTCGCGTTCTGGATCAGCAGGCTGCAGTGATGTTGATCCAAGGAGTAGTCCTCTTTGTCGCATCCGACCAAGGAGTGAAACGCCAGTTATTGATGGACCCTTTGCAATCTGCTTTTCAGTTTTAATCTTAATAAACTTCTTCTTGAGGTAATTAGTCTGTTTTACTGCTTGCTTGAAGATTCCATGAAGCCTGAGCAGCCAAGCCTCTATACTGCTTGATTGAAGATATATGCTACTCAATTCCTTCTCAATTCTTTCTTCAGCTTGGAACGCTACATCTCTTATCTCAGCCTCTAAATCTTTCATCGCCGAATTATTATAGGCAATATCAGATTTCTCAAGAATTTCTTGGAGGAAACCAAGATTTTCATGGAGAGAGTTAACTATCTCTTGGTTGTCTTGAAGAGGCAAGCGTGGTTGTGATTGCAAGAAATGTAGATGGAGTGTTCCTTTAAGCGAAGTTACAGCAGCATAAGCCATTTGCCTCTGTCTATGTGGTAGCTTATCAGAGCAGAACAAAGAAGAAATGAAAGATGTGATGCAATTTACAAAACCATGATTTTAAGTGCAAATCTTAGAGTTCAAATCTGTCTTTTTTTTTTTTTTTTTTTTTTTTTTTTTTCCTCTCCGTTTTGTGTTTATCGAAGTCAGCTCAAGCTTGATTCAAAATAGGAACAACTAATCAGGTTAATGTTTCAAAAATTCCCTTTAATTTTTTTTTTTTTTTTTTTAAAAATGTAAGTATAGATTGTAGATCAGGTTCATGAATACAAGTGAATTAGGCTAAGCTTGGAAATAGGAAAAATAATTTTTTGAAAAATATTTTCATTTGTTATTGTTTGGTTGAAATACTTTTTTTTTTTTTTTTTAATATTCATTATTCTTTACAAGGTAGTATGTGTTTTAATTTATATTTTCTCAAACATTTGTATTTCAAAGAATCTAAGCCTTTGTCACCGGAATTCGAACCTATGACCACCTATTTGGAATGGTAACCGGGATGTCATCACTACATGATAGTTGACAATTATTTTTTATTTAATTAAAAGTAAAAATATTATAACTTTTCTATTTGATTATTTTTTTACAAACACGAGGATAACTCTATTACAAAGTTGTTTCTTATAAAATATAAATTATTTTAATGATGATAATAATTATTATTTATATTAAAATATAATTATAAAGTAAACTTTATAATAGTTAAAATGTAAATAAATAATTTTAACTTATAATTTATTATAACTAACAAAAATAAATATATAAATTATTAGCTAAGATTTTATTATAGATGCTTCTATGATTTCAATTGCATAAAAAGATTAAGTAATGAATTAACTAAGGTTCTTGTTGCGAGGTGTTTGATAAATTGTTCCAATTAGAATTGAATCGTCATAAGAGTATGATTCTTGTTGGAAACTAATGAACCACAATCGATTTAATATCCGTAAAATAATATTTATATATATACACACGAAATATATATAAAATATTATTGGATATATATATCCGAAATATATATATACACACAAATATATATAAGACGGACCCAACGGTTATATATATAGATGTATATCTACGAAAAAGATATACCAATATATATCAACCAAAAGAAAATATAATCCTTAGATTATAATTCCAAATTAACAAGAAAGAACGGATTTTTGCTTAAAAGCATAATCCAAAACAAGAAAGAAGGAGAAGGAAGAGAGAAATGTACGAGTTAGGCGAGTGCCTTTCTTTCCTTAAAACCTTATTTGGCCACCTCCCAAAAGTGCTAGGAGTTGTTCTCTCTCTGTGTAAACCTGCTGCTCCTACACTCTTCTTATATAGGAGTTGAAGAATCAACAAATGGTTGACGACATTCGTGCCCCCAGGTGCCGGCGCACACGAGCTCGGGCTTGAATCAAGCCTTTTTCAATCTCGTCTAGTTGGAATTTGATTTGCACCCAACCCCCCCCCCCTCCACCCCCGCGCGAGAGAGCCTCTATGCTATGCAATTCTACAAGCTCTAAAAAAGCTCTTGTATAAAAGGGGGTGAAATCCTCTTTCCAAATCAATGTGGGACAAAGCTCACTTTTCCCTTACATTTTTCCAACTCAATGGGTCTACTTTGAGAATCAATATCTCATTCACCCATTATCCGTTTTGAGCGTACAATATATCAATCTCTTCGTCTCACTACGAAGAACCCGAATCCACTTTGACCCGACCCAAATCGGAAATGGACCCCACTGATAATTGTACCACAAAATAGCCACTTAATATGTCATTTTATGCCATTTTAATGCTATTTTTTCCAACAATTCTTTGCTAATTGAAGTTTGTAGCTCTTCGTATAAATAAGAACATGAAAGAAGAAGAAGAAGAAGATTACCTAAATTAAAGCAGCATTAAAAAATCCCAGTAGCCTCTCTTCACCCTATCACCACAACCAGATAGCTAAGCTCTACTTCTTCTTCTTCTTCTTCTTCAATTCCTCCTTGCTTAGCTTGTTGATGGTGCTAAGGATTTAGTATTGTATTGCTGTGGATTTTGTTGTTCCACGCCAAACAGATATGTTCGAACATTTGATATGAGTTGGTATCAAATACCCGGCCATGTTGAGAGAGAATTGAGGTAGGTGCAATATAATAAGAATAGGGATCAAATTTTCTATGTATGATTTGGAAGAAGCTACTAAGCTAGTGAGGCTAAAATACCTCATTATTATATATATTATGCCCATCTTGTGCAAACCTCAAATTCATTAACTTAATACTTAATTTTTGTTTCATTAGCAAAAAATAAAAGCACATGGTTGGGGCAATTTTCTTCCGGCATGCAGCAGAGCGTAGTGGCTAATTAATATAATTCAATTTCCATCTCTCAGCTCCTCATGTGTGATTAAGGCAGCGCAAGTGGAGTACTTCAATATAGAAAATTTCAAGAGCGAAGCATTATATTTTTAATTGCAAAATGACAGCATTGTATTGACTTTCAGTACTTCATATTAAAATTTATGTGGCTTTCTATAACTTGTAATACTAATTGCGAGAAATATGAAATTAAATATTAGAGAAATTAAAGATAATGACAACATGAGACAAATTGTTTAATGTTAAGTGCGAACTTTACAACACAAATTTGTCTTTTTTTTTTTTTTTTTCCTCTCTATTTTGTATGTATCAAAGTCAACTCCAGCTTGATCCAAAATTGAAACAGCTAATCACGTTAATGTTTCAAAAATTCACTTAAAAAAAAACTAAGTAGGGATTGTAGATCAGGTTCACGAATACAAGTGAATTAGGCTGAGCTTGGAAATAGGAAAAATAATTTTTAGAAAATAATTAATATTTTAAAAAATATTTTCATTTGTTAGTGTTTTGATTTAAGTTAGAAATCAATGTGTTCTATATTGATCACTCATTTGAAATGGTAATCGGCATATCATCACTCCACATGATAGTCAATTTTTTTTTTTAGTTAAAAGCAAAAATATTATATTTTTTTCTATTTGATTCATTTTTTTTAAACATGAGCATAACTCTATTACAAAGCTATTTCTTATAAAATATAAATTATTTTAATCATGATAATAATTATTATTATACTAAAATATAATTATAAAGTAAACTTTATTCTAATACTCATAAAGATTAATGATAATTATAATAAAAATATGAGTAAATAATTTTAACTTAAAATTTATTATAACAAAAATAAATATATAAATTGATCAATATAATAGCTTTGAAGTTAAAAAGAAAAAAATGTATATATATATATTTTTTTTGGCTTGGCTTGGCCTGACCAGCCATTGATAAATGCAATAGCTCTAAACTTTAAAAAAGTTAAAGAAAAGGTATTCTTTTGGATTTTGGATCGGGTTAAATTTTTATTGTTTGTTACAGCTTTACTCAATCCATATTTTAATTGGTCATCGACAAATATAACAAGTTTAAACTAAAGAAATTGAAAAAAAAAACTTAAATAATGCCTTTTTCTAAAAAACAAATGTGGTTTATGGGGAAGGTCGGGTTAAGATTTTTATTGTTTAGCTCAATCTAACTAAATCCATATTTTAACTTAACTCGCCTAGTTCAATTCAAATAATAACTAGACAGCGACCCAACCCACTCATTTGACACTTTTCACAGACAGGGTCGGTTCTATCATTTTATAGGCTCAAAGGCAAAGTAAAAAAATAAAAAAAAAATAAAAAAAAGGACCCTTAATATATAAAGTTAAAACTAGTATGTTACCCATGCGATGCACGGATCAAAATTTTAAAATTAATGAACTTATGTTTGTTGTATTGTTGGATAACTATTTTTTTATGTGGATATTAAAATTCCTATAGGATTTCAAATTTGGGATTTAAACATACTTAAAAGTAATAAGCATTAGTGATATAAAATGACATTATTTTAAATTACAAATTATTAAAAATCTCTTTGTAAACTACATTGCTAGTTGAATTACAACAGTTACCTAACTCATTACAAATAAAAATTTTAATTAGTACAATTTGAAGCTCTGATTGTAATACTAATCATCTATATTAATGGAATCTGTATTCAAGCACGACTTAAACTTACACTTACACTCGAATTAAAATGAAGCCACAATTTGGCTATCAATAAAAAATCATTTATAATAGGCGTACAATTTGGCTGTCCATGATGTCCACGTTGATCAAGGGATAGATATGCTCATTTCTATACCTACACCTTGAGGGCAAGGTGTGTTTTTTAAGGGGTGGAAAGTGATAAACCCTTAATTATACAATAATCATAGGAATAAATTATGTAACTTAATTAGAAGAATTGATTACGTTTTTAGAATTAATAGAATAATAAGGATGGTACAACTTAATTAATTAGTGGGAGAGTTAATAACGTGCCTAGATTAGCATAGAGAAATTATGTATATCATAATATAATATATCATTACATTGTATAGTTAGTATAACTTTAGTAGGTTAATTATTATAGGCATTAGTTATTTAATATAGATAGATCCATTGTATATGAAGATTGTCAAACAGAGAAATATATATTGTTCTTGGAACCCTCACACACTCGAAGTCCAAAATTGAAATTTTTCGTGACTCTAATACGAAAGTCCAGGATTAAAAATTTTCGTGACTCGAATGCAGCTAGGAGCTAGAAATATGCTCGAAAGGTTCCCTATCCGTTACGATCCTGTCTAGATCGCATGACATCCCCTCACCCCCCACCCACAGGATGGAGAAGTTAAGGAGAAGCATATGCATGGTGAATGTTGAAAGGATCAAATGCACACAGTTTCCGTTGATTCAACAGAGAGAGAAGTTGAGAGTTTACTTTGAGATGAGCTAAACATTACAAGAATAACCAGAAAAACTAACTCAAAAACAAGAGCCAGAGAGTTTATATCAACTGCAGTAGCAGTTGTAACAAAGAGAAGGAGAGAAGGGAAATTACAAGAATAGCCCTATGCTATTTTATCACCCCCCTATAATGGAAGTTTTCAAATAATAGTCTTGGCAATGCCTTAGTGAATCCATCTGCAATATGCTTTTGTGAAGATATAGACGCCAATTTTATCACCCCTTCACAAACTTTCTGCTTGACAACATGGCAGTCTATCTCAATGTGTTTGGTGCGTTCATGGAAGACATGATTCTCCCCTATTGCTAGGGCAGACTGACTATCATAGGATAGGGCAATAGGATTGTTAGGCTTCACCTTTAAATCTGCTAGCAGGTTCTGCCACTGAATCTCACACACTGTGGATTCTAAGGCCCTATACCCAGATTTTGAGGATGATCTGGATATTGTGGCCTGCTTCTTTGTCCTCCATGATATTAAATACTCTCCAAGATAGATACAATAACCAGTGATAGACTTTTTAGTTTCTGCACAAGTGGCCCAATCAGAATCAGAAAACCCTTGTAATTTGACTTCAGAAGATGTTGGATAGAATACTCCTTGTATAGGTGATCCTTTTAGGTACCTTAGTACCCTATGAGTAGCCACAAGATGTGAGTCTCTAGGTTTGTCCACAAACTGACTTAGTTGTTGCACTGCATAGGAAATGTCTGGCCTAGTGTTTGTCAAGTAGAGTAACTTCCCAACCAACCTTCTGTAAACTTTTGGTTTATCAGGAAGTGTTCCCTCAAAGTTGGTGAGCTTCTGTCCTACAGTGACTGGTGTTTGTGCAGGTTTGGCATCTAGAAATCCATTTTCTTCCAGGATTTCTAAAGAATACTTTCTCTGGCATAGGTTAAGACCATTATGAGTTCTGAATGCTTCAATTCCCAAAAAATAATTCAGATATCCAAGGTCTTTTATCCTGAAAGTATCATCCAAGAACTGCTTCAACTCATCAATGTGTTTAGAGTTTGATCTTGCAACCAAGATGTCATCAACATAAATGAGTAGGGCCATGAATGATGCGTCTGATGTTTTAGTGAATAGAGAAGGGTCTGCTGAGGACTGTTGGAAACCATTCTCTTGTAGAGCTTTAGTCCGCTTAGCATTCCACTGCCTACTAGCCTGCTTTAGGCCATATAAAGACCTCAGCAATCTGCAAACCTTCTTCTGATTGTCATTTTAAAAACCAGGAGGCAAGACCATATACACCTCCTCTTCTAAATCTCCATGCAAGAAAGCATTGTTAATGTCCAGTTGTTGTATGTCCCATCCCTTTGCAATTGCCACAGCTAAAAAAGTTCTGATTGTTGTCATCCTGGCCACAGGAGAAAGTGTCTCAATGTAATCTACACCTAGCTGTTGGGTGTAGCCTTTGGCAACCAACCTAGCTTTGTGCCTTTCTATGGACCCATTTGCTTTGTGCTTTACCTTGTAAACCCATTTTCATTCAATTGGTGTTTTTCCTGATGGTAAATCTGTCAATTCCCATGTGTTGTTCTCATGTAGGGCATCAATTTCACACTGCATTGCTTTCCTCTAGTCTTCATCTCTGATTGTTTCATTATAGGATTGTGGCTCCTGAGTGGACATAATAGAGGAAGCACAGATCCTGTGACTTGGAGGTAAGCATTCTTATGATATGACCTTGTTGAGAGAATGTGGTGAGGGTCCAGTAGAATAGTTGCCTGTTAATAGAGAATGGCAGTAATAGTCTTGTAATCTTGTAGGCACTTGTCTTGTTCTTGTTGATCTTCTAGGTTCTAAGTGAACCATATCTATTTCAGTCCCATTTTGTTCCAAAGCTATATCACCATGTGTTTCAGCTATATCATCATCTGTTTCAGTGGGCAAACCACCACTTGGACTGAAATTCCTCTCATTGATGTCAGCATTGTGAGACAAAATACCATAGTTGTTTGCCTCTTCTGTGGTTTCCAAGGATGGCATACTCACTTCAGTAGAAGTAGGGATTAAGGGTAGCACATGATTGAATTGCAGCTGGTCATCAGGAGAACCTGCATTGGATTCTAGACTGTGATCTTTAAAGGGATATATTTGCTCATAGAAGTGAACATCCCTGGAGACAAAAACATTGTTGGTCCTAAAAGAGGTAAGATGAAAGTCTAGAGGGGGGGGGGGGGGGGGGTGAATAGACTTTCAAACTTTTGTCGCACAGCACAACAATTGCTAAGGCAGAGAGAAACCAAAACTCTTAACTAGATTGTTAGAGTTTGGTACGCAGCAGAAATAAATAAAGATAAAGTGTGTGTGAGATTGTGACAGTATATCTCGTGTGGAGCAAGTAAAGAGCAGTAATTAAAGAAAGCAGTAAAGAACACAAGACAATTATAGTGGTTCGGAGGTGGTGTAATCCTCCTAATCCACTTGCTCTTATCTCCAAGAGCAATTCACAATATCCACAACTTCTTGATTCCAAGATACAATGAATTCCGTGATCTAGTTCTTTGATCATCAAGCCCGCACTAATCACGCTCAGTGACACCACACTGCTGCTTCGGGTTTCACGTCTCCGCGCTACTATCCCAGGATTTCACGATTCCGCGTTACTTTCCCCCCGTCTTCCACACTCCGGTAGAAACGTATCCCGTGATCTAGTGCTTTGATCACAAAGCCCACACTAATCACGCACAGTGCCTCTGACACTGCTGCTTCGGATCTCACAGCTCCGTGTGACAATCCAGGATTTCACAGCTCCGTGCTACTTTCCTCCCTTCCTACACTCCCGTAGGAATATCACTTGTTCAAAGACAAGTTTTTCTTCTTGCTTCCAACTTCTGAGACTCTGTAGATGATCTTCAATGTGATGCAGGTCTCTTTGATGAAGATTTAACACTCTTTGAATGACTTCTCGTGATAGCTCTGAGTGTTTTCTCTCTTTGGCTATATCAAGTATAGCACTTGATTTATATGCTCTGTTTAGCCCTGTTTCAGAACTCTCTGAATATTTCTCTTTTAAGCTGTTAGAGTTCTTTCTCACTTCTCACTTGAAGATTTCTTTTGGTATGCTCTGTACCAATTGAAACTTTTGCTCTATGTATTCTTGCTCTTTTTAGCTCTGTGCTCGTGTGTTCCCCTATCTTCACGTCTTCATATCTTCATCATTTTATAGCTGGTAATGAGAATCTGTCCGTTGGAAAGAGATGATCTCATTTTTGAATTCTTATATCTTTTGTCAAAGATCTTATCTTATCTTCTGGCAAAGTGTCAGAAAAGATAATATAGCCGTTTGTAGAGCTTCAACTTCATGCAAATGAGTTCCCAAACTTCATTTGATATTCCTCTGGTGTTCTCACGTTTCTTTGGAATATCTGGGTCTCAATTTTGTGTAGAACGGCTTCTCTGATCAGCTCTGAAGTGGTTCTTGTTTCTTTGGGATTTAAATGCTTCAAAAATATTCTTCAATTTAATCCCATACTAGTTAGACTAGTATTTTTCCTTCTGAGAATATTTTCACTGTAAGTTCTTCTTCATCTTCTTCATTCTCACGCCCATACTTCTTCATTCTCACGCCCATACTAGCGCCCATACTTCTTCATTCTCACGCCCATACTAGTTAGACTAGTATTTTTCCTTCTGAGAATATTTTAGACTAGTATTTTTCCTTCTGAGAATATTTTCATAAGTTCTTCTTCTTCATTCTCACGTTTGACTTGCCCATACTTCTTCATTCTCACGCCCATACTAGCGCCCATACTTCTTCATTCTCACGCCCATACTAGTTAGACTAGTATTTTTCCTTCTGAGAATATTTTCATAAGTTCTTCTTCTTCATTCTCACGTTTGACTTGTAATTGGCACGTAAACTTCTCCTGGTGCTTCAATTGCTTCCCAATTTGAATTATTTGAATTATTTGCTTCCCAATTTGAATTATTTGACTTTGACTTCAATTGCTTCCCAATTTGAATTATTTGACTTTGACTTCGAAATTGGCTCCCAGACTTGAAATTGTGAATTTAGCTCACAATTTCAATTGCTCTGTGGCGCCCAACTCCATCAGACTTAATAGATTTTGGCTTCTCAAATTTTACCTTGTAAAATTGTTAATAGTGAGATTCAAACTTGAGCCATTTCGCATAATACATCAAGCATCTTCGACTTCATCCGTACGATCTATTGGTTACATCTCCAATCATCTTTGATGTACACCTTTCTTTCCATAGATGCTTGATCTCCAAGTCAAATTCATGCAATCTTCAAATCTTAATTTTCTTAAACGAAAATTCTTCTGGGATATCTTTTTGAGTAGTAGCGATGTGAAACTCATATCATTCATCGTCTTCTTCAATTTGTCATCTTCTCCAGACAAATTCTTGATTTTAGGCTTGATATCTTATTCTTCTATTTTCATGCATCTTTCTCTGTTTTTCTCCTTTGCAACTTAAATAATTTCCCGATCATGGTCTAAGACTCTACTAGACCTATAAAATTGGGGGTTCTACAAATACATATTTGGCATATCAAAACCATTACACTTTATTCCTAAGAATTTCCCCCCTTTTGATAATGCCAAAACCTATACTCAGTCATTGGCTTTAAGTCTTTGAAAAATAATCATTTTGCTCAATTTTATTTGACAAAGCCAAGATGAGCTTAACAAATGGTTTTCTAGACACAACCAAAAGAAACTTGTGAATTAGTTTTTAGACAAGCTCCTAAACGCATCTTGAATTATTTTATTAATTTTTGATCATTTTTTTTTATAAAAATTTTGATGTGCATTTTGACATTTCTTGTCTTTTTAATTCACGAAGGTCTAATTACAAAAGACAAATGAAATACTAAACTCAAAATAGACCATTGGAAATTATTATTGATATATTTCGAATATTTTAGAGCAAAACGCAACAGAGGTTCGAAAATAGCGAATATATCAGTTTAAGAGATTTTCCAGATTACCTTCCGGGTTTCTTCACACCCATGTCTTTCTTCAAAATTTCCTTGACATGTTCTCTGAGCTTGAAGAAATCATCTTTGAACTTCGCATTCTGAAATCTCTTTGTAACTTGCCCAGCCATGTAATATCCAAAAGCTTCCTTAATATTGTTGCCCGGAAGAACTCCAGCTTCCCACCATACAACACATTCTTCGAAGGTTCTTTCTTCTCCATGATTCATGCCCATGTTTCCAGTGAAATCTCTTAGTGCATACCACATCTCGGTTCTTTTCCTTTTGCCTTCTTCTTCTTTATTCTTGTCCGAGATCCATTGGGCTTGATCGGCTACAAGCCATTTCTTGATCATGCTTGGTAGATTTTCTTTAGTCCATATTGTTGTCTGAGTGGCGGGACCTTTAGAGCATTCAAACCAGCCACGAGTTTTAGCAACTTTCAATGCACTCGTACCAAGACTAGGACTCGCGAACTAAGCAAAACCAATCTGAGATGGTCCTTGTGAGGATTGTCCGCGGCTTCGGCCTCGACCTTGGGTCGGTGTTACTGGCTGTTGTTGGCTTCCAAGAATAAATTCTTGTTGTTGCAAAGCCAAGTGATTGAGAATTTCTTTCCCCCTTTTGGCGTTATCAACCAAAAATGCAAGGGTCTTACAATCTCGGTCTTGGTTTGCTTTCACAGTTTCAACACAATTGTGTGTTTCAATGGAAACAGCTTGTACGTTGTCCAGCTTATTTGTTGCAACTGTGAGTTCAACTTCAAGTTTATTGATTCGGCTTTCTTGATCTTGAATCGCCTTGATTTGTCTCAAGTGACGTTCGCTGTGAATCTTTTTGGCTACTTCACGTCCCTTCTTCATGAGTTGGATCACTTCAAGTAATCCTTTTGTCACTTCTCCTTTCAAGATTCTTTCAGCTTTGTCAATCTGAGTCTTCAAACTGTGTTGATACTCCATGAGTTCTTTCAGATTGACTCGGGTATCCGTGTGTTGTGTTCCATCATCTGATTTTGTTCAACCAACTTTTCTCCAATAGTTTGACAAACAACATCACTGGACTCGGCAACTTTGTCAAATAGAGATGTAAAAATGTCATCTTCTTGATCACTTGTTTGCACAATATTTTGAGGAGATCCGAATGGACTCCTTCTCGGATCTGTGAGAACGGGTGTGTCTACAAGTTGCATCCCTTCTTCTTCTTCAGGTGATTCGACTTCTTGATTGAGATCACCAATCTCTTCTTCTAAAATTTCTGTTCTTGTGTAGTTGTCTGCAAATAAATTTTCATCTTCTAGAACAGGGTCCATGATAGGCATGGTAGACTCGGTATTGTGTACTGCCAATACACTAGATAAATCCTCTCTGATTTGTTGTCTACTCTCAGTAGCAACTTCTACTGCAACTTCAACTGGTATGTCTCCTCTAACTTCTTCTGGCACTTCTCTTCTTAATTCTTCTCGTACTGACACTTGGACTTCATCAGATCCCACAAGTCTTTCATTGCACTCAAGATTCACATTAATTGTTGTGGGGGTCAAATCAGATATCAATAAAGAGGCATCATTAACTTTCACAGGTATGTCCATATGACTATCAGTGGTCATGATTGGTACATCAATGAGTGTTGTCCCTTCAGTTCTTTCATCAAAAAGTTCATTATCCACAAGAGATGTGTTACCTGGATAATGATGTGTGTCATAGACTGACCTTTGTAGAGCTAATTGAAGAGATATTTCATTCTGTCTTTCCTGTTCGGCTAGACGATCGTGAATCGTATTTCCTCCTTTGATTGGTGCTTTTTCCTTTTGTCTGATTGTCTTTTCGTGTAGCTTCATGTGATAGACTTGATTCAAATCCATGTTGAGTGCATCTAGCATCACGTTAGTTCCGCACCATTCCAAGGAAAAGTCTTCACTCCGTATCAAATCTGGGGTGATTTTTGCCATGAAAGAGTGATATCTTTCAAGTTTCCATTCTCTCCAAGTTTGCACTTGTATTAATTCTCTCAATAGTTCCGGATCATCTTGAGTGAGAGCTGAGTCAAAAACTATAGGTCCTGCACTTCCTTCGGCTATAGATTGACTCGAAAGCCTTCGTTGTAGATCATTAGAAACTTGCACATCAACTCCTACAAATTCCATTCTTGTTGTATCGTCAACACCTTCGGCCAACATGTCCGGCTCAGCATATTTGAGTGGAACAACGGTCATAGCCGTACTGATGGCTTCTTGATCTCTTCCTGACCGATTGCTTGATCCCATTTGATTACTTGAGGCTGAGATTGCTTTGCTATTTCTCAATCTTGAGCTCTGAGGTGTTTTTGAACTTGTGGAACTGCCACCTTCTTGTCCTTTTCTCTGGCTTGATCTTTTCCCAAAATTCG